GCAATGAGGAAGTGGTCTGTGACTGCCCCAGCCCTGCCTTCTTGTTCTTTAACCTGTGGCCTCTGAAAGAGCAGTTTACAGTAACACGTATTCCACCCCCCACCTCCCCGCCAACATAGGAGGACAGCATCACCATTAGGCCGCAAGAGTCTGAAGTCAGCATGTCTCAGTTCCAAGAGCTGTCAGTAGAGCCAACTGTGTGACCTTGGACACCTCCCAAGTTTCAGTGTCCTTGTGCACAAGGTGAGACAGGACCAGCACCTGTTGCCCAGTGCTGCCAGGGGGTTACCTGACAGCGGGTTCATGAAGGGCCTGGCACAGACTGATACTCCTTCAGTGGGTCCTAACTTCCGTTTCCTTTCCATGGTGAAGAAACAGCTCCCCCGACCACCTTGGACACTGTTTCTAAGTGATGATATTCCATGTGCTCTAGGATCCTGAAGGGGTTGCACCATTACAAATATAAGGGTAATGATTGGCCTTTAAACATTGGATAAGTATCTTTAACAGCAGGAGGGAGCTTAGACCTCTCTAGCCATGAACTCCACCTACTTTATTTCATAGCTTTAAACTCAAATTTTCCATTTCATAGAACTGCTTTATTACCCAGGCCTGAAATCTCTGTTTGAGTTTCTCTGTGTGAAAAGAAGTGGTTTCCTGCTGTTCGTGTTCTTGAAAGCTGCAGTTTTAACAGTGGTCTGGACACTGGTGAAGCAGTAGACAAACACCAGGGAGGCGGCCCTGGGTTGTGGAGCACCAGGCCCCAAATCATGCACCCAGAGTGGCTAGAGGGTCCCTCCTGGCGAGGCCTGTCTGGTCACACTGAGTGCAATGGGCACCCTATGCAGAGCACCCACCTCTGTACTCCCATGATCCCTCAGAGACCCCCTGAGTTCTCCTGATCTGATTCAGAGCCCCAGCAATTCACCATCTCTTGGATAGAGCAGCACAAATTTCAGTTTCTGAGGCCTTTCCATAAAGATTCTTGGCATTAGTTACCCAACCTACTCATACTAATAAAACCTTGAGGGTTAATTGAAAACTCCACATGTTCTTGCAGAAATGTGCACCAAATGAGCAACCCTCTAGATCAGGGATGTCTTCATTATAAATGTCCGGGATGAACCTCTCTAGGTAGCGTGATAAGGTAGGAGGCATGTTGTCTGGTACACAGGAACTCTAGTGACAAGGACCCCTGCTCTTTGTCAGCACAATGGCTTTCTGAAAATTGCAGCTTTTAGGAAATAGTATCAGTTTGCTATAGATTGAGTGAAGAAGTTGAATTATTTTTTGTTGTTGTTTTCTCTGAAGTAGTGCTGTCTTCTGGGAAGGGCTTCAGATCAATATCTACTGTGTTTTCTGTTTAAGTCACAAAATAACTATGGCTGTTGTCTCTCTGTTCAATCAGATGATCTTACAAAAAAAAAATAGACCTCAAATAGGCCAAATGTTTTTGCTCTGTGGTAGACTACAGACTACAATAATTGGTACCCAATTTGTTCGCATATTGTCATCCTAAAAAGTCCCTCCCACAATGACTTTGGGTTTAGCCATGCACCTCCCTTTGGGCAATAAGACAATGGCATGCATAACACGAGCAAAGACTCAGAAAGGCCTCATATGCGGAGACTCACCCTCTCTTGCTGCTCCTGGGATCTCTAGCATAACTGCTATGTGGTGGAGTGACCTGCTGGATGATTAGAGACATGTGGTCCAGCCACCTCTGTCATCTCAGTCAATGGCCAGACAGCAGTCTCTAGTACAGCTGCATAGCTGAGCTGCAGCTACCTACAGACTAGTGAGGGAAACTGAGTGAGACTAGCAGTGCAAGAACCATCCGGCTGACACCAATTCCAGCTGTTGACCCCAAGAATCATGACCTAAATAAATGTATTAAGCCATTAGGCTTTACGATATTTGTTATGCAGCAAATGCTAACTGATACATGCCCCTTTATTATTTCATGCAATGGAAAAACAGTAAATTTTACAACAGTGGCTGCATGCACGCTGACTCTTCTAGCTACTCATTAGTTTTTCTTCCTAAATAAAGACTACCATGGCTACACCATAAGAACGTTGCTGAGAAAATATCTTGTTTTTACAGAATTCCTCATGGACCAAGTCAACCACTTTGGATTTCCATGGCTGTATTAAATAGCACTGAAGGAGTGACAGGAGACATACTGTGTCTTGATTTTTTCCCCTCAGAGCCTGTGCAAAGAGCCTTTTCTTGGTCTGGGTTTGCCAACCAGAAAGTCTCAGATGAGGAAATCCAACTTTTAAACAACTTATTTCACCAATGTCATTGGGTGTGCCCTTTCTGGCTAAGATATAAATGCCAGCATGTTCCACCTTATTGTATTAGAGGTGATTATAAACATGTTAATACACAGTAAGTACCACATCATTTACTCATGAGTACTACATCATGAGTAAAGAGTCCAGCTGCTGTGTCATTAAAGTTAACTGTTTCTGATGGGCTATCACTACTGTTGCCAGGACAGGGAAACAGACTGGGTGGGAGAGCTCATTTCCCCAGAAACCTGTATTACCTGTCAAAGTCTTGGACTGACCAGGTAGGGAAGCCTGTTGTGCCAGCCACCAACCTCCTAGCATTTAATTTAAAAGACTGTCTCTAAGTGTGTTCTGGTCCTATGCAGAGTTCCAAAGGCCACATCTAGTGGTTGAGGTCATTGTCTGAAAATTGTTGCCAAAAAATGGACTCAATAATTGATTGCCAAAAATGTGATTTGAGACATATCATGAAATGACTATTTGTACTTAAATAATGGCCGTGTTTATGTGCAAGCTCAATCTGAAGCCCATGCTAGTCTTAAAGAAAGAGGAATACAATTCCTTTTAGTGTAGTTCACTATGAAGTCTCAGAATGGAAGTAAACTAAGGACTAAGAAGATGAGTTACTCACCTGTTCATCCTCACCTACCCTGGTGGAATGTAGTTATTCAAGGATATGGACTTTAAGTTGATGGATATAAGGAGAAGGAGGGAGGAATGCAGCTCACACAAGTGACAAAGTGATGATGGAAACATTCACAGATTTCTTTTACATTTTTAGTATTATTTATTATTTTCCAAATATTCCTAACAAAGCTGAAAATCTTCTGATGGCCAGCTTGACCATTTGGAAGCTTAGGGACATCTCTGCACAGGACAGACCTGACACTTTCTTTCCCATCGTGTCTGAACAATGGCAAACTTCACTTCTTCTTCACTTCTACTACTGTCCTGATTCTCTCATCATCTCTTAGGACAGGTCTCAATACACTCTGTAAATCCAGTCTGGTCTTAGCCCCATTCCCCTCACCTCTCCCCTTTATCTCCCCACTCTGTTCCACTCTGCAGCCATAGCAGCTTCTGAAAACTCGAATTTGACCCCAGCCCTCCTGTCTGAGAACCCTCAGGGACTACCCCACCCATGATGCCCATTGGGGTTCCTAGCAGTGTGGTCTATGAGGTACAGCAAGCAGCACTCCTATAGCTGACAGTGGGCCTGGACTCTCAAGTCTCAGGCCACTCTCCTCAATATAGGGCTCTTTCTTGATGTTGTTACCTGTCCTTACTTTTGTAGGCATCTAGGTTTGTGATCTTGCCTAAATTCCAGCCTCTCTCAGAAGGCTGGTATGGTCCTGTCTCCCCAGCTTCATCATGATCCACAGGTCTTAACTATTGTAAACAGTTACGGTCCCCTGCAGTCCTAGGTTGGATGCCTCTGTGTTTTTTCTGCTCATGATATCCCCTTGGACCAGAGTTCTCCCACCACCATTCCCCATAAGCCATTTTGTTCTGGTTCTTCTCAAGATGTAATGCGGGGGGTGCTTCTTCTGTAATGACTCCTGACCCCCCACATTATACTTGGAGTCTCATCTCTTCCCTCTTTTGATGCTCTCAGAGCAGGATTGGTACTCTACCATCATAACTCCTGTATTTTGTGAAAATTGCTTTTTTGTGTATTTGTTTCCTGAACTTCATGCAGGTCAAGCGACATTCATACTTTTGCATTTAGCAATGCCCTCAGGCCTTGAAAACGAATGGACATGTGAAAAAGGCTTGTGAATGGAAGCCGAAGTACTTCTTGCAGCTTTCTAAAAACTTCAGCATTGCCAGAGCCAACCCCATCCTGTTCCCCTTAACAAGTGTCCCCAGAGGGTATAAAGGTCTCCTCTGATGGCCTCTCCTACAACTTGACTTCTCTGGACTCCCTCCCAGCTGGTTTTCATAGGCTCCATTCATAAGAATCACTACAAAACATTTCCCTTTTCTGAATTTCCTTTCTGATTAAAACCATCTCCTACCAGTTAATTCTGGTTCTCATTCCACCTCCAGGCCTGATGCTTCTGGTTTTCTTGGCTGCTGTGTTGTGTTATACCATGCCCAACATAACACGTTTCAAAGCATGTAACCCAAATGCCCTTACCTGCCCTCCAGTCTACTGAAGCAGTGACTCTTGTAACAACTCAACTCATCTACCCTTTAGCCCAGCATTCCTACTGTTTCTTCCAGCAGGTTTAGCTATACCAAGGTTCCCTTAGTAGGAACTCTGGAATGCCAAATTTAGGAAACGGTTTGTGACAGCAAAAACTCTTCTCAAATTGTCCCTACACATGACTTTCCAGCTTCATGTGGCACTAGGACCATGTGCTAGGTCCTCTCACCTTGATCACTTTTGCCAATGACCCCTCTCTCCCAAGTGGGAGCCATTAGAAGGAATCCCCAGCTGACTTCTGGTGCTGGCAACACTTTAGTCCACTAGTAGCTCCATCCTCATAGCTATTCCCTTGGGTCACCTCTGCCAGCATCCCTGCTGAAGCTCCTACTAGTCTTTCTCCCCTTCATCTTCAATTAATATTTAATAGTGCTTCAGTTTCTCCGCATTTCTGCACATTAATTGCAATCCCTAACTTTTGCCAGGCACTCATAAGTCCCCACCCAATCTCCATGTCCCGTTCCCAAAGGCTCATGATAAACACATCCTCTGACCTCTAGCTCCTGGAATTCCTCCTCCTCCTCCACATCGTATGAGAGGGTGTGGATCTTGATGTCATCAGCCGAGAGGTCAATGAACTTCCCATCAGGGTACTCCAGACTCTCTTTGGTGGGTGACCGGTCCTCAATGAAGGTAGTCTCGCAACAGTCGGCAGCCACGCTGTCCCCCCAAGAACGCAGCACGCCCTCTGAGTAGAGGATAATGTTGGGTCGGAAATGGGACTCCACAGACTGTTGAAGTGTGTTGGGGTCCAGCAGTTGCTGGACTGGCTCATTCCTGCTGCTATCCAGGCTGGCTGGAGCTGTGCTACCCACTACCCGACAGCTCTGGTACTGTGGTGCTGGGTAAACGGACACCAGGCCATCTCTGCTCTCGGCCATGAAGTTTCTTGTGTTAATTAAGCCATTCCTCTTGCCAGCATCGCTGATTTTACTGTGCACCAGCATGCTCTTCTGTTCAATTATGCCATCCATGATGGTCTCCCTCCCTGACTGGGCGTCAGGCTGGCAGTCCGCACTCCAGGGTCACACTTGCCTCATGGGACCCATTTCTCCTGGAAGAAGAGGAAACAGAGATGAGATTTAAAAAAAAAAATCGCATCTGAAAACAAGCTAATCACCTGCAACCTTGCTGTTTCAGCTTGCACTAGTCAGTTGATATGCACAGGAGCTGGGGGGATCCGGTCAGACAATAGTCTAGTCCTACCTATGCTACCAATTTTTAAAAGACTGTATCAGGGCAACCAGTCAGATAAAGCCAGAAATTGACTACTCACATCCCTATAAAGTCTTTGCTTCCAAATAAAGGAGAATCTGCAGAAATTGGAACCACTGCAGCTCTAGAGAAATCTATGATTGCCAGCAAACATCTTGAAACCCTCGGGTAAATCCAATCACATTAACACTGGGCCAGTCCACAGGGAAAATAAGGCTGTAAATCTGTAATGGGGACCTAATCTTCCCAGGTCCATGGCTATTCATTTAAGCAGAAAACATACACCCAAGGAAGAACAGGTTTAAATAAATGTCCCACACAGATTTAGAAGATAAATGACAAGAAGACCCACACCATTAGTTCTGTATATAGACAAAATTCCCCAACTAAGGAAACATTCACGTGTACATTCTAACGTCTAACGTATGTATTAGCACTAGCTCAATGCTCACACATGCCTACTGGACTTCCAACACAGTTCCAGGAATTGAACTAGAAGTTCCCCTGCCTTAATGGTACTCAACTTAGAGAAACATCTACATATATGGGATACAATTAAAAACCCCTCTAAGTTGTTTCTCCCTAGATGACATTCTTCTCTAGCATATTGAATGTTCCAAAAAAAGAAAAAAGAAAAAAGAAAGAAAGAAAGGAGAAATAAAGAAAGAAAAGGAGAAGGAGAAAGAAAAAGATACTAAAGATTAAGATTTTGGAGATAATGCATTTCCTTGCACAGCAAAGAAACCCCTCAACAAATAAAAAGACAAAAGATATTTGCAAATGATGTATCTGATAAAAATATGTAACTGATAAGAGGTTAATATCCAAAATATATGAAGAACTTACACAACTCAACACCAAACCAAACAAAACCAAACAAAATAAAAAAAATTAATTAAAAATGGGCAGAGGACCTAAATAGACATTTTTCCAAAGAAGACATACCGATGGCAAACAGCCATATGAAAGATGATCAACATCACTCATCATCAGTGAAATGCAAATCAGAATCATGGTGACCTTATAGCAGTCAGAATAGCTAGTATCAAAAGGACAAGTAGTATTGGTGAGGATGTGGAAAAAAGGAACCCTCCTGCACTTTTGGTGGGAATGTAAATTGGTGCAGCCACTATGGAAAACAGTATGGTGCTTCCTCAAAAAATTAAAGATAAAAATACCATATGATCAAAATACCAAATACTACTGGGTATTTACCCAAAGAAAATGAAAACACTAATTTGAAAATATATATGCACCCCTATGTTTATTGCAGCATTATTTATAATAGCCAAGAATAGAAGCAACCCAAGACGTTTATCAATAGATGAATGGATAAAGACATAGTGTGTGTAGTGTGTGTGTGTGTGTGTGTTTGTGTGTGTGTGTGTACACACATATATACATACACACATATATAATGGAATATTTCTCAGCCATAAAAGAGAATGAGATCTTGCCATTTACAACAACATGGATGGACCTGAGATTAGGAGGTACAATTCTCTAGTTATAAAATACTTAAGTCATGGGGATGAAAAGTAAAGTAATAACGTTGTATGGTGATAGGTGGCGACTACACTCATCATGGCAAGCACTGAATAATGCATAGACTTGTTGAATTACTATGTTGTACACATAAAACTAAAATGGCATGTCAACTACAGTTAAGAAATAAAAAATACTTTAAAAATTTTAAATAAAATAATTCAAAAGCACTTGAGTAATTTCCTATAAGAAATAAAATAATGATGATGTAAGGACAACATTTTCTTAAGATTTATAAATGCTTAGACTTTTCCTAACAACAAAAAGAATGAATTTCCTCAAGAATTTCCTCTTTGTGAGTTAGTAGCTATTATTATGAAAACTTTTACATCTTAGGGACTTTGAGTACTCTAGCTTTTATTAGGTTTTGGAATTTTCTGATACCATAATTGCTTTATTGGTGGTAGTTACAAGAATTTAAAATTTCAGACTGGCCGAGAGAGAGAGGTCACCTTTGTGACTAACTGGAAAATAACATTTTAGTAGACTTGACAAATGACTAGTCAAGCTACAGCATATGCACGGAGAGATGGTGGGTATTATTTATGTGATACTGTGTCAGATTTAAGAGAGGTCAAAAAACACACTGCCACATCTACTGATGTGCTACTGAGAAATACTTAGCTCTGGAGACAAATTTACAGTCTGAGAGCTAAAACATTAATTAAACTATTTAGACAAGATCTTTTGAGTACCAGCAACATGCAAGGCACAACATGTGTCAGCATCATCTCTGGGATTGATCATCTTCCAAGCTAGCACAATATGCTCATTGAGGTGCTTCTGATCCAAACCCTCAACCTCTCTAATCTTGTCCTTCTACAGAGAAGCCACTCAAAATCGGGCCCCTTGTAGGGTTTGTGATCGCCAGATGTACTACAAAGCTTAGAATAATCTTCTTGAAGTGTAATTTGGTTCCTCAGACTCAGCTCCTTCTCCTCAAATTTGTTTTAAGTATCTTACAAAAGAGATGTGGATGCATCTGTTCCAACTCCACATCTTCAATGGAGTTGCATGTTCTTGCCCAGCTAGAGGGACCTCTCCCATTTCTGGTGTGTTCTCAGCCACTGTATTACACTTTCTGTTATGGCTCCTATTGCCTCCTTCTCAGCAAACATGACAGCTTCTAATGTCAACATCCTCCTCCAGCCCTTGGCTCTGCTCTTCTCCTGGAGCTCCTTGAGACTAAAGAACCAATATTACCTTCTCCCTCTCTAGCACCTGGTATGCAGTAAGTACTCAATGAACAGTTGAAATAAAGTCTCAAGTGTTATGTAATTAGAATAATCCCCACTTAGTGATCTCCTTGAGCTGCACAAAGTGCAAATGTGAATCTGATGTTACAGCATCTTGAGGTAGGCACAACTTAGGTCTCTGAGGTGCCGTCCACAGTTTGACACCTAAAGTACCAGCCGAGACCTGGCAGCATCAGCACCACCTGGAAGTTTGTTAGAAAGGTGGACTCGTCAATACACCTGGGAGCACTGAATCAGAATCTGCACCACAGAAAATGATGATTCTGAACATAAGGTTGAGGCTTTTTTTGTTCCACTGTATATACTGCAAGTTTTGGCCTATTGCACTAGTTGGCTCCATTGTACATAGGATAATTTACTCTCTTTTTTAAAAAGTCTTCAAATAAATATATTGAACACACTTAAATTCATTTCTTCTTGAAGTGAATTTTTCCAACTATGAGCATCCTACGTTATGATTACATTGGGATGAAAGAGGCTGAAATCAGTGAAATCTTATCTTTATCACTTGTAGCATCCTTCACTACGTCTTTAAACACAGACCAGCTTATTTTATATATTGTATTTCACTTCATAATTCCTATTAGCTCATTTCTTCTGTGTTCACTTCTACCCCATCCTCCCTGAGAGCAGGTTTCCACCAGTGGGAGTTTAGCAGCTCAGAGATAACAAGGAGAGAAAATGTTGCTACTCATTGGGGTAACCCACCAACCTCCTCCTCACTGCTTCTTGGAATCCTAATCCAGTGACTGTGCTGTTCTTCCCAGGCTCCTTACAACACATATAGGTTTGTATAATATCACTTGTTATATTGTATAACAAATAATACTTTGCTTATTTTATATTTTTTTCTCAATCCATGATATTCAGAACCAGTGGCTGTCTCTTATTTGACCCTTCATCTGCTTAAATAGCCTTGACTACATCTCACATGCTGCCTCCTGTTGACAAAACTCTTTCTGGAGTGCATCAATGGCCAATCTCCCAACTTCATTCTCTTTGTGAAGTTTTGGAGGCTGTTTCTATGAGTCCAGCACTGGAAGCCAGTTGGAAGGCATCACACCAGTCAGTTATGCTGCATCTTCTTCTCTTACAGCTGCTGGTAGGTGGGGGTGGGAGAGTGAGGTGAGGGGGCAGCTCCATGTGTCTGCCTGTGATCCCCAGTTACTCCTCCTTCCCTGGTTCTTGTTATCTGTACCTGTGTTTGAAGAACCCTCCTGTTTACAAGTTTAGATGAATACCAGACAGATAAGAAAATGATACGATCCAATAATTGCACTACTGGGTATTTATCCAAAAGATACAAACAGTGATTCAAGGGGACACATGCATCCCAATGTTTATGGCAGCATGTCCAAAACAGCCAAAGTATGGAAAAAGTCCAGGTGTCCATTGACAGATGAATGGATAAAGAAGTTGTGGTATATACACAATGGGATATTACTCAGCAATCAGAAATGATGAAAGCTTGCTATTTGCAACGGTGTGGGTGAAACTACAGGGTATTATGCTAATTGAAATAAATTGGTCAGAGAAATAGAAATACCATATGACTTCACTCATATGTGGAATTTAAGAAACAAAACAGATGAGCATAGTGTAAGTGAAAGAAAAATAAAGTAAGATGAACACTGAGAGGGAGGCAAACTATAAGAGATGCTGAACTCTAGGAAACAAACTGATAGACATTGGAGAGAGTGTGTGGGGGGGAGGGATAACTGAGTTATGGGCATTGAGGAGGGCACTTGATGTAATGAGCACTGGGTTTTAAATGCAACTGACGAATCACTCAATTCTATCTCTGAAACAAACAAACAAACAAACAAATAAGTAAAATTAAAAAAAAAAAAAGAAAAAAGAAAATGATGAACCTAAGTAATCCAAGCCATTACGATCCTTTCTACTTAGGATCAGAATATCACATCTGATGTTTCAAAGTACATGGGCTTCCAAAAGATAAATTTTATGGCTCAAGTAAATACTTTCAGTGAATTGAAAAAGAGAGAGAGAGAGAACCGATGGAGATCGTGAAAAAGAAA